TGGCAATAATTGTGCCTATCTACAGATGCCGTGGAGAGTCAGGAAGTTCCCAGCATTCCAGGAGAGGTTACTCCTTGCTACAAAAAAAAAAAAAGAAGAGGGAGGGAGGAAGGAAGGAAGGAAAGAAGGAAGGGAGGGAGGGAGGGAGAGACGGAAGGAGGGAAGGAGGGAGGGAGGGAGGGAAAGAGAGAGAGACAGAGAGAAAGAGAAAGAAAAAGTGAAAGAGAAAGAGAAAGAAAGAGGGAGGGAAGGAAGGAAAGAAGGAAGGAGGAGAGAGAGAGAGAAAAAGCAAAAGTGAAAGAGAAAGAGAAACAAAGAGGGAGGGAGGGAGGGAAGGAAGGAAGGAAGGAAAAAGAAAAGACACATGCACACGTATGTTTATTGCGACACTATTCACAATAGTAAAGACTTGGAACCAACCCAAGTGTCCATCAGTGACAGACTGGATTAAGAAAATGTGGCACATATACACCATGGAATACTATGCAGCCATAAAAAAGGATGAGTTCGTGTCCTTTGTAGGGACATGGATACAGCTGGAAACCACCATTCTCAGCAAACTATCCCAAGAACAGAAAACCAAACACCGCATGTTCTCACTCATAGGTGGGAACTGAACAATGAGATCACTTGGATACAGGGTGTGGAACATCACACACCGGGGCCTGACGTGGGGTGGGGAGATGGGGAAGGATAGCATTAGGAGATATACCTAATGTAAAGGACGAGTTAATGGGTGCAGCACACCAACATGGCACATGAATACGTATGTAACAAACCTGCGCATTGTGCACATGTACCCTAGAACTTAAAGTATAATAAAAAATAAATAAAATAAACAAAAAAGAAAAGAAAAGAGGAAGAGAGGAAGAAAGAAAGATAAAAGATAAAACTTTGCAGGGTGGAATGTTGATGAAGAGCCGGATAGAAAAAGCACTCACGGGTTGTGCTCAGAGAAAGGACAGAGCCAGCACACGAGGGCTGGTCAGAGAAACCTGCAGACACCAGGTCCTTGGGTCCCAGGTAAACAGCCCAGGACCCCCGAGTGCTCCACAGAAAGGCGGGTGCTCACAGGACCTCAGGCCAGGAGTAACCTGGGAACATGTTTTTTCCACCATCCTTTTCAAGCTGCTTCCAAATACATGCCAGTTGTGCAGATTTATTCACGACTTAGGAATGATCTAAATCAGGCCCCAAAATAGCTATTTTTATAGAATTCAGGGAGTTTTCAAATAAATGTTTAAAAGGTATCATGTTTTATAAAGCTGTGCATACAGTCTCATAATTCTTAGAGAAAAATAACCTAAAACTTGTACTAAACCTGTAATTTTAAAACACACAAGGAACTAAACTTCCACCCAAATGCCATTTATAAAACAACAGAAGCTTGTGGGAAGATCGGAATATTCATCATCCAGATATCCACATAGGCCCCGGCATTGTTTTGACACATTTCATACACAGGCAGAAGGTACTTGGCAACGTTGCAAAGAGCCGCGCCACCAGCTTGATGTTGGCAAACCCAGTGTGTTCCAGGTACATGCCTGTGTGCAAGATGCATAATTACAAACACTAGAGACACCTGTGGTCCGGTTCAAAATTCCATCTACACCCTTCCATGCCAATCAGGCTGAGGTAGTAAAAGCCTTTTGCTTTCACGATAGAAACCAATGTGTGACTAAAGCTAAAAAGCAAAGATTTCAAGAAAAAATAGATGAGATTTTTTCCCATAAAAATGAAGGCAGTTCTTAAATATTTTGAGAACTATCTCAAAATTCACAAATTCTTTTTGTGTTTCTTGTACAGTGGACAAAAGTAAACCTATCCGCACCCCCCCCCAAAAAAAAAACCAAAAAACCTCTATAGTGAGTTCAGTAGCTGACAGGGCTTGGAGGTGTTCACGGCATCGTCCACCAGAGTTCACAGCTGTGGCAAACAGTCTGGCGCAGCTTTAATTTCTAACTATGACTCACAATGAGTGGGAGCGGTCATCAATGTTACTTGTCCCGTGGTGAGAAACAAAATGATTCCACGTTCTGCTGCCAACCAAATCATCTGATTCTTTAGCAAAGCTGAGAATAATCATCTAAATAACAAAAACCAACAGGTGCGATGAACATCTTAGGAATGGCTACTGACATCTCCAGGGGAATACGCTCACATGGAACCCAAAGCTCCAGGAATTTCTCCAGTTTTCGGTGAAGATGCTGAACTTTCCACTGTACATTTCTTCTTCGGGTCTGACACGCACTGGGCCCAGCGAGGAGGAGTTGCCCTTCTAGAGCATACTCTGCTTCCTCCACACACAGATTCCACATGGAGCCCCGTCCCTGCACACCCGCCGGTCACTCACTCAGAGAGCCTGAAGTCACATGCTGCTCCCCCGGCACTCACATACCTCATAGAGCCCTGTCCCTGCACACTCACCAGATGTCAAAACACAGACCTGGAAATCATGCTCAGTCATCCTCACACAAAGGACAAGTGGCTGCATCCCGAGATCCGACCCTGTGATGGGCACATGGGGTGCACAGAGAATGCTATAGCCTGAGACCTGCCCCTGTGATGGGCACATGGGTACACACTGAACACTATAGCCCGAGATCCGACCCTGTGATGGGCACATGGGGTATACATGGAACACTATAGCCTGAGACCCAACCCTGTGATGGGTACATGGGGTACACACTGAACACTATAGCCTGAAATCCGACCCTGTGATGAACATATGACAAGTGCACAGAAGGCTGGAGCTCGAGATCCTTCCCTGTGATGGGCACATGAGGTGTGTGCAGAAGGAAGAGGGTGCTGCACCCCATCTGGAAGCAGGAGCCAAGCCACATGTTGCTGGGACTAGCAAGGGACTTGTGTTCTCATCAAAGCACAAGAAAGACAGGCTACGATTTAGAAAGGTGACTGCTGCAGAGACCAACCTTCCAGTCGGGGCCCACCGCTGTGGTCTCTTCCCTCACTCTTCCTGCCACTTGGACTTGATTGATGGCCTGGACCAGCGTGAAGACCACCTGCGAGGGCTTGAGTCCCAGTAGCCCAGTCAGGAGCACTTGACCCTGGAGGTCAGGGATCAAATATCAGAGTGACGTGCATTTCAGTGACTCTGTTCTGGTTCTTAAAGGAAGAGAAACGTTCACAGGAGCGTGAATGAAGCCGACTAAACATCCATGTCCGAGAGCCCCCCTGAGGGCTTTCAGAGAGCCATGTCACCTGCCTCTTGGGCACCTCGTCTTGGCCTGAGCCCCTCATCTTTTCATCTCAGAGAGTGAAGCGTACATACGCTCCTCAAGAATAATTTCGGGAAGACTTTGCACTGTGCTTGGGGGATATTTGGGGGGAGCTTCTCTGAAGGAGTAAAGAGTGGTCCCAGGCACTGGGTGTCACGTGGTGTCACCTGCCCCCACTGCCCACCAAGCCCCACACTTGTCAGATGCAAGGCAGAGCAAGCTGAAGAAGGAGGGATGCCTCACAGGGCTGGCAGACGCATCCCTGTGCGCCCACCAGAGCCACACGCACCACCATTTCTCTTTAATACGAGCAAAGTCTAATACTGAGGGATTTTCTCCCGTTAGCAATATTCTCTCAGAAGGATTCCAAAAGAATCTATGAGGTTCTCATGAAGAGTCATCCGAAGGTTGATTGTGGGGAGCAAAGCTCACCCTTCAGTGTGAAGACAGCTTTCTGCAAGCTCCCTCCTGCAGCGTTCACCGAACATGAATGTGCAGAGAGTCGTCCATACCTACAAAATACCTGCAGTATATTTTGCCTTCATTGCCCCAGCATTTCTGAAGACATTGGTGGTAAATTTGCAATGAGATTTAGAACACACACGTCTATTCTTTGCTGAATTACGTACCACCTCTTCGTGCCCAAAAAATCATTTTAAAATGTATTCCTTGCTTTGCTTTCAGGAATTTGTTAATTCGGGCCTTTTAACGTAGGGTATCGCATTACGCTAAAACCTGACCTTCCCCGGCAGGAGGTATCATAAAAGTTACGCAAAAGAGCTCCATTCACAAGGATGCTGGTGGTGCAGTCAGTCTGAATAATCAGAGCTTACTTAAAAGTAAGGGAACACAGAACCCATTCTCCTAGCCATTCATTTTAAAATTAGATTCTTTCAACTGCTTCATACAACAGGCCACACAGCATGGTCAGGTAATAAAAGTAACAACCCAACATGAAAATAAATAAATAAGAAAGCATTAGGGAGGAAAGACTAGGAGGATAATCCAAAGGGTTACATGTCTGTGGTTGTTATAAGGAATTATTTAAGTTATCATTTTCACCTGGGCTGTTCCAGCTCAGTGAAAATTCCCCTTACGGTGGAAGTGCAGCAATGCATGTCTGTTGCTCTTGCTGTAAAGTTGACTTAGAACAGAATATCTTGCGTTTGGGCCTCACCTCGTGTTTATGGACATCTGAAGTTAAGAAAAGCATTCATCTTTCAGGCAATCAGGGCCCGAAGTCCCAAACCGTGTGAGGATTAGTTAATGAAGATGCTAAAGTTGCTGTCATTTGCCACAGAAGTGATAAATAGGCACTGCAGACTCGGATGCAGACACACAAGTGTTCCTGCCCAATCTGTGTTAACATAATCCTGGGCGCTCAGGAGGTGAAAATGAGAGCACAGAGCCGTCAGCTTGAGCTTGCTGGGGGGAACCTGAGCCAGGCCAGCTCCAGGACCTGTAAGGACGGTCAACATCAACTCTGATTTGTGGGCCGGGTTTTGGGAAAGTAACACCAGTTTGAGCTTCAATAAGACCATACCATGAAGCCACAGATAAACTTACATCTGCACACTGTCACTCTACATGAGCAGTCGCAAACCGCAGCTGGGCGCTCCAAGAATTTCCATCCATCCCACTGAGAGGACAGGCACCACTGGATCAGAGGATGGAGCTGTAGCAATGATCTCTGCCTTCTTTGCGCTGTCTTCCTCCTCAGGCAGGGCCCCCCGTTCCATGGAAGCTGAAATTTTATCAGTTTAACAGCCTGTGTCCCAACAGTTTTAACGAAGGCCGGCTAACTCCCGCTAGCTTAGACGGGGCCACTTCCCGTCCCTGAGCTGACGACTGTGACGTCTCAGTGCCGGCCGGATTCTGTTCTCCCTACTGGAGGTAGGCGAGAAGTCAGCCACACCAAAGCCTCACAAACTCATAATGCCAGGTAAAAGGGCAGAATAAGGACGTCTGAAGATCCTGTCATCCATTAAAGCCATGAAAAAAATGGCAAAATGATCAGAATCAACATTTTCAGAACTCAGGGAATTAATCAAAAAAATGCAGCAATCCAAGGATGATTTTTTTTTTTTTTTTCAGGAAAAATGACTGACTCTTGGTAAGAACAGTGAGCACACTGGCATTTTAACATGGCCTCCTCCTACCTTTCCTTTCCAGCTGTGCGGCAGACCTGAAAGCCAGAATCCAGCAGTCATGGTGAAAACCGGCAATCGGGCAGGCATGGGGGGGCAGATTCCCAGAGAATTCTCAGTACTCAATCTGCCTGGTGGGTCCCGGAAGGACCCCACTTGCAAGACTGTCTTTTTTCTGACCTGACTCACAGCCCATCCAGCGTGAAAAGCCTTCTCCACTGCAGGTGTCCATTGGTTTCTCTTTGCAACACTTCTCCTCCCCTGTCTGATTTAAAGGGCAACTGCATAAAGCAATAATTAGAAATATGCGTTAATGGGCACACCATATATAAAGGTGTAATTTATATGAGGATAACCACACGAAGGAACAGAGAGGGCGTGGAGCTATATAAAAGCATAGTTTCTGTACACTATTGAAAGTAAATTAGTATTATATGTTAAATGTCATTTTTGTTTCTGTGTTTCTACTTTACTGCCTTCTTTGAGTTTGAATAGATATGTCTGTGTATCATTTTAATTCATTTAAATCATTTAAAAGTTATTTTCTTATTGGTTGCCCTAATTAGTGTCTTAACTAATGACAGTGTAGTTTAGGTTAGTCCAAGTTCAATTTCAATAGTAAACAAATTAAGTTGATATTAACCCAAACTAGATTAAACATATAGAAACAAATGTTAAAATGACATACATAAAGCTAAATTTATCAGTAACTGAATTAAATGTAAATAGACAAAGCACTCCAATGTAAAGGCAGTTTGGCAGAATGGATTTAAAGAAGAAAGATCCAACCACATACTGTCCACAGGAGACACACTTTAGATTCAAAGACATAAAAAAGTTGAAAGTAAAAGGATAAAAATAAATGTTGCCTGCAAAGAACAACCAAATTAAAAGACTTGGAGTGGCTCTATAAATACCACACAAAATAGACTCTCAAACGAATGTTGTCACTAGAAATAAAAAAGGATATCTGATAAAAATGTCAGTTCATAAAAAAGTATAACATTTGACCGGGCATAGTGGCTCGTGCCTGTAATCCCAGCACTTTGGGAGGCTGAGGTGGGTGGATCACCTGAGGTCAGGAGTTCAAGGCCAGCCTGGCCAACATGGTAAAATCCCATCTCTACTAAAAATACACACAAAAAAGATATAACATTTGTAAACATATATGCACCTAACAACAGAGCCCCAGGATATATGAAGTAAAACTGACAGAATTGGAGGGAGAGACAGAAAATTTTACATTAATGATTGGAGACTTCAGCCTAACTTTCAGTAACAGCTATAACTAGACAGAAGATCGATAAGGAAATAGAGGACTTGAACAGCACTATAAATCAATTAGAACTAACAGACGTGTATATAACGCGCCACCCGCAAGAGCAGAATATTCACTCCTCTCAAGCACACTTGGGGCACTTTCCAGGATAGCTCATGTTCAACCATAAAGCAAGTCTCAGTCAATTTAAAAGGTCTGAAATCCTACAAAGTATATTATCTAAGTACAATGGAATAAAATTAGAAATCAAAAATATGATATTTGGGAAATTTATACTGCAAGGAAATTAAACAATAGACTCCTAAATAACAATGGGTCAAAGAAGAAATCACAATGAAAAATTAGAAAATACCTTGAAGTGAATGAAAATGAAAATACAACATACTAATATTATCGACTGCAGTGAAAGCAGTGATTTGAAATTTAAAGCTATAAGTGCATACTTTTAAAGAAAATTCAAATCAACAACTTTATCTTTTGTGTTAATCTAGTAAAAGAAGAAGAAAATAAACTCAAAGTAAACAGAAAGAATAATAAAAATAGAAGTGAAAATGAACTAGAGAACAGAAAAACAACAGAGAAAAAATTTAAATTATGTAAATTCTTTCAAAGATCAATCAAATTGACAAAACTTAAGCAAGACTGGCAAAGAAAAAAAGAGAGAAGACCTACATTACTAAAATCAGTAATAAAAGAGGGTACATTACCGTCTACCTTACAGAAATAAAAGGATTATAAGGGAATACTATAAACAGTTGCATGCCAAAAAAAACCCTAAATGAAATCAAAAAATTCCTAGGAAGATATGAAGTACTCTAGAAGAAACTGAAACTATGATTCCAGAAGGAATTGAAAATCTAAATAGACTTATAACAATAAGTAAAGTTATTGAACTCATAGTGACAATTTTAAAAAATAAAAAATAAAACTAAATAAATAAAAACCTCCCCACAGAGAAGTCTGGGGCCAGATGGCTCACTGGTAGAATCTACCAAATATTTAAAGAAGAGTTAACACTAATTCTTTATGGAGAGAGAGAGCGAGAGAGAAGTGTAATGAATTCTTACAATTTTATGTTAACTTGGTTTTAGCCATTTTGGTCTTTGTTATCTAGCTCAAATAACAGGTTCTCATTTTCACTTCTGTGGTTGAGGCAAGATACCCCTCACCCAACACCCACACACAGCCTCAGAGCCAGCAGGACCTCAAGATAACACCTTCTCATGGGAAAGGGTTTCCTCAGTTGTTAGCTTTAACTGTCCAATTGCTACCCTGCCTCCCAAATGCCTAAGTTCTCCACCCTGAACCTCACTCAAGACAAGGACCCCAGATTCACACTTCCCCTGCCTGCACTCCCTGACCCCATTTGTGGGGTCTCCAGGTACGCCACACATCCCTCAGGACCTGTGAGGAATAAAATATTTATTTCCATTTAATGATTAGCAGTATCTCTGCTAATCATTAAAAGTGTGCTCTCCACTACAAAGATCCTACAGTAAAACAAGGAGTGGAAAGTTTCAAGCCCTTCTGTAAGTCCAGTACTACCCTGATTCTAAAAGCAGACAAAGACATTACAAGAAAGGACAACTACAGACCAGTGCCCATGATGAATATAAATGGATTATCAAAAAATACATATATGGCTGAAATGAATCCAGCAGCATAGAAAAAAAAAAGTTTATGCCCATGACCAAATGGAATTTATCCCTGTAATGCAAGATTGGTTCAACATACAAAAATCAGACATGTAATGCTCCATATTAACAGATTAAAGGACAGAACACATGATAGATACATACAAAGCATTTTAATAGATCTTAATAGATGCAGAAAAAACATTTGACAAATCCAACATACTTTCATGATAATAATAAAAAAAAAACACTCAATAAACTAGGAATCATGGGGAACTTCCTCAACATGATAAAGGTCCCCTATGAAAAACCCACAGCTAACTTCTAACTTAATAGTAAAAACTAAGCTTTCCCTCCAAGATCAGAAACAAGACAAGGATATACATATGACCACTTCTATCTAACATTATTCTGGAGGTTACAGTCCTGGCAATTAGGCCAGAGAAAGAAACAAAAGGTATTCAGACTGGAAAGGAAGACGTGCAACTATCTCTAGTTGCAGGTGACATGTCATATATTGAAAGCCCCAGGGAGTTGCATACATGCACACAGAGTATTAGTGCTAAGTTCAGCAAGATTTCAAGAAGGGAAAGGTACATTTTAAGGACCAGACATTCAACATAAACCAAGTATGAAGGGAGAAGAGGTGAAGAACTAAACTGGAAGGGAAGCGTGCACAGTGGTCCCCAATCTTTTTGGCATCGGGGACTAGTTTTGTGGAAGATAATTTTTCCACAGACTAGAGTGGGGACAGGGGCTGGGTGTGGAGGGTGCTTTTGGGATGAAAATGTTCCATGCACCTTAGATCATCAGACATTAGATTCTCAGAAGGAACATGCAACCTAGATCCCTGCCATGCACAGTGCACAGTAGGGTTTGCACTCCTATGAGAATCTAATCCCACCGCTGATCTGACAGGAGGCGGAGCTCAGGTGGTAAAGCTCGCTCACCCGCCGCTCACCTCCTACTGTGTGGCCCAGTTCCTAACAGGCTATGGATGGGTACCAGTCTATGACCCAGGGACTGGGGACACCTACCCTACAGCCAGGACATATGGGGCCCTTGAATCATGTTAGGAAAGCACTTACCCCTCCTAGTCATCACTTTCTTATTTGTAAATGAAAACTATTTGCATAATATGGTATTCATGTGTGTTAAATCTCACAATGCTATGTACACAACATGGTGCCAGGCTTCTGGTAAATTCTTAATAAATGTTAGCCCTGCCATGATTTCTGAAATAATAAAAGCGTGTTCAATTATGAAGCTCAAACTAAGAGGCAGATGGGGCTGCCTGTGGAATGGCCATTCCAAGACACCAAACTTCGCATGCTGACCTCAAGTGAAAATATGTATGACGATGTGATGAGGGAAATTGTTACTAAAAATAAAGAATTCCAAACTTCTAATGAATGTGTCTCATGTATGACGCTATCACTTTATCTCTTTTAATTTCACAGTAACCCTAGGAGGTAGATTCTGTTAATATCCTCAATTTTCAGGCGAGAAAATTCATGCTCAAAAGAGCAAGCTCCTTTTATAAAGTGTGAACCAGTACACTTCGGTGCAATACCATCTTTACTAAAAGACCAGGGGATAAAAATTGAAGTTGGGTGTGGTCATTTAACCATACATTAGGAGGATAAGTACACAATGCACCCCGGGGATAATAAGATGATCAGCCACCAGCCTTGCCGCAAGGGACTGTGGCTCCTACACTAACGAGTTCCAGCAGATCCTAGACATGGGAGGGGTACTTTCTTCACACCTCAGCAAGAGAGCTGGAAATGTCTGGACAGCACGTGCCCACATTGTGGCCTTTAGAACCTGGAAGCTGCTGTTCCCGGTTTGGATTTTTGAAGACACCCGTGCTGAGCACTGAATGCTAATAAACACTTAGATATAAGTTGCTGTCTATGCCAAATTATGATGCCAAAGTGTGGTGTTCCCATTAACTGATGCCTCATGGGCTTCTCTTCCAATTGACTTCTCAGTGCAACTATCCAAGCCCCTTCCCTACCTAGAAGCCTACCCATTTACAAGGATGATAGTTAAGTTGTACCTCTGTAAGAATTCCCATAATACTTTCAAAACTTCAATCATTCGATGCCTGCTGACAAATGATGGAGCCCAGCATGGCCTGGGTCTCCTGTGGCCAATGCAACCCGCAGCATAGGTGGAGCCCTGCTGGGAGTGTCTAAACCCCACACACAGTGCTCGGGAGGGCAGGCGACACCCCGCCATGGCACAGCTCTGGAGCTGGGCTGGAGCCCCAGTTGTCTCAGCTCTGATAAGGTTTGTCATGGCACCTGTGTGTTCTTTGAAGATTGCAGACCACTGGAGCTGATGGTGAGACTGAATAAGGAATACACAAGGCATTCGCTTTATTTCTAACAGGGGCAGCATTTCTTCTAGCCAATCGATTTTGCAGGTTAGAATGGTAAGCGGTGACGAGCATCAGCCTTGAATTCAACAGACTTGGAATCACTTTCTGGTGCCATTTACTAGTTGTCAGGTGTCGGTTCAGTGGTTTA